ACCTTTCAACCTAAGGAGCTATAACTGATTAAAAATAGGTCTGATTTTATCATAATTTCACTGTATAGCTGCACAAATACGCGCAAAGATACCTATGTTTGATGCGCACGTACGGCATTGTTATTTGCTAAAAGATGACCGAAAATAATGCAAATTTGTGAAAACAATGTCAGGAACCCAAAATATGTAAAAAAAACCTAATTTCTAACTTCCATACGTACTGCACAAGTAAAAGTGCGCGCTCGTAGTGGAAAATTATAAAAAATTTTGAAATGCTCAAAATGACCTCAAACGTGTTCTAATTTGGTTAAAAAGTGATTTTGAGCATTTTGAAATTTTGACGCACGCGTGCGCGCGCATTATGAAGCGCACGCGTAAAATTAGGGTACAGTACATTTAACGTTAACCCAAAGTTAATGCTCACTTAATACGATTTTGAAATGGCAATTGGTTAGGCAGATATGATCGATAATGTAAAAACGAAAAATTGCACGTAGATGACGTCACGCATGACTGAGCGCGTTGAAAACCTTACTATGACTATTCCAGGCGAAGGCAAAATGATCGATGTAGCGACCGTGTGCGTAACTCGTGGCAATTTTGAGATATCGTGCGAACAGAAAAGGGGAGAAAGAAAGAAGAATAAAAAGATGTTGATCCCTGACAATAACAAGAGGTGATCCGCTAACGTTAGCGGATCACCAATTACTACAGTTAATACCTAATTAATGGGACTCCATTTGACATACACATTGTTTAATGTTTTAAGTTCCTTAGTTCCTAATAACTTTGAATGATCAATATGTAATGTTATGCACCTTATATTTTTGTGCACGCGTAATAACGCGCGCACACTTTCTCGCAAGTCAAAGTGCGGCGGATCACCTAACTCGTCCTCAGTGACGAGTTCAAATCTAGTTGGTGATCCGCTAACATTAGCGGATCACCTATTGTTATTGTACGGAATCATCTTCAACTTTCTTATTATTGATCCGCTAACGTTAGCGGATCACCTATTGTTATTGTCAGGATCATTGGTGATCCGCTTCTCGAGCGGATCACCTCTTGTTATTGTCAGGATCTTTTTTTGGTGATCCGCTAACGTTAGCGGATCACCTATTGTTATTGTACGAGATCTTCTTTTTGGTGATCCGCTACACTAGCGGATCACCTATTGTTATTGTACGGAATCATCATCATCTTCATCTTCTTTTTTGGTGATCCGCTAACATTAGCGGATCACCTATTGTTATTGTCAGAATCTTTCTTTCTTTTTGGTGATCCGCTAACGTTAGCGGATCACCTCTTGTTGGTGATCCGCTAACGTTAGCGGATCACCTCTTGTTATTGTCAGAGATCTTACAACTTTTTTTTATTCTACCTTTCCTTCCATTTCTGTTCGCACGATTCTTTCTTGAAAGATGTAAACACATTGAAAATAGAGGGCGGCAGACTGTATTTCGACACTATCAGACCGATAGTTCGTATACTGTAAAGGCAAAATTCGTGTGG